TCTCAGAGCCTTCAATTCATAGATATGCACAGGGACACTCCTAAGAGGAACATGTCCTAATAATAGATAATGTTTATTGCGTTTTCACAATGGGCCAGACACACTAACTCATTTACACATATTAACTAATTGAATTCTTATGCTAACCCTATGAGGTAGTTACTATTATTACCCTCGTTTCACGCATGAAGAAACTGAGACCCAGAGAGGTTGAGAATCTTGCCCAAGATTACACAGGCAGCAAGTGACAATGTCCACAACTGAACCCAAAGAGCTTTGCTCTGAGATTCATGCTGGACTGTATCTCTCGATGTAGTATACAGCATTTCCAAGACATGTTTGACCACGGCTTACTTTAATAAAAAGAATTCTGAAATATCTGCCTTCTCTCCAGCTTCAAGGCCAGCACCCTGGTCCAGGAGCACATCCTCCTGAGCAAGTGCAGTTCCTTTCCCAGCCCCCCAGGGGCCTCCTGCTGCCTGTGCACCAGGGTTTCTCAACAGCGGCACTGTTAACCTTTGGGACTGGCTCACTCTGTGCCGGGTTGGGGGCTGCCCTGCGCCTTGTAGGGGGCTTCACAGCATCCTTGGCCTCTCCCTGCTAGATGTCAATAGCACCTTCTCCCCACGTTTGACAGCCAAAAACATCTCCCAACATTGCCAGATGCTGACAGGGACAAACTGCCCAGGTCGGAATTGCTGCCTTAGAAGAAAGTCCCAATTCCTCACTGTGGCTGAGAAGCTCCTGATGGTCTGGACTTGCCCACCTCCTCGCCTACCACCTTCCGGTATCCACACCCCACAGCAACGGGCGCCTGCTCTCTGATCTTCTGACTCTCTAAGCGCGGCCCCTCCTCAGGCTCTTCGCATGTGTTCTTCCCTCCATCCTTCTTTCTCATTATTCAGGTTTTCTCTGTCCACCTTCTTTGCTGTTTTCTACCCAGTCACTCACTCCCTTAATACTCGGATTTGTTTTCCCTGTAACACACCATTATTTAATTTATGATATGTATTTAGTTTCTTCCTTATAATCTGTTCTCCCCACCAAAATACCAGCAACGTGTGTGCGGACGCCTGGTGATCTTGTTTGTTGACTCTCCGGTGCCAAGAAGAGCCTGGGTACCCGGCAGCCGCTTGTCTCTGAGTGCCGGATGAATCATGACCCTGTCGACAGGTAAATCGGGAAGCCCTCCTGGCGTGCGCCTGGGCACGGTCAAGACTGGCGACTGGAGGGGAAAACACCTGAGGGAGTTTTATCAGTTTTATCACCGTGGCTGTGGGCATGGAACACGCTTCTGGTCTTTTGTAAAAGGTCTCTTTCTTTCAAAATCGGTTGCCAAGAGGTCTTTAAAACGGAAAACACACAAAAAGGAAAAAACAGCAGAAAAGGAAGACGAGGATTACTTTAAAATTTTTAAAGTCTTCTTAAATGAAAGCAAGTCTCTGCTTAGTGTCGGCTGATTTTCCACACAAAGCAGGGACTAGACATTGGAACGGGAATGGAAAGCAGTGGTGGGGTGTCTCTAGGTCACACCTTCAGCAGTTCCGACAACAGGGGCTGGGTGGAGGAAAGCGATGAGCAGTCCACTTGGGGTGTGAGGAGGAAGGAAATACAAGGCAGACAGGATGAGTCAGCCTGGGCTGGGGCCACCCTGAGCGCCAGCAGGCAGAGAGAGAGCCGGCTTGAGGAACCTTCCTGGCACATCCACAGGATACCTCTATGCACTGGAAGGAACTGCAGCTTCTAAAGCTCTCCCCAGATTTCCTCCTCCGGGGTGGTCTTCCGTGAAGGGATTTTGAACTTTGCAAGGATTTTGCTGCGCACAACTAAGCCTCCTGAGCTTGGCTTCTCCTTCTGTTAATGAGAGGCTCAGGCTTGCTTGGAATGTCTCGACCTGGAAACCCCTGCCATAGTGGCCCTGGGAGGTTGGACTGGAGGCCCTAAATATCTCCACCCACCTATTAAATATTTTTATTAAAAAAAAATCAGGGGCTTCCCTAGTGGCGCAGTGGTTGAGAGTCCGCCAGCCGATGCAGGGGACACGGGTTTGTGCCCCGGTCCGGGAAGATCCCACATGCCGCGGAGCGGCTGGGCCCGTGAGCCGTGGCCACTGAGCCTGTGCATCCAGAGCCTGGGCTCCCCAACGGGAGAGGCTATAACAGTGAGAGGCCCGCGTACCGCAAAAAAGAAAAAAAAAGAAATCAAACCAGAAACAGTCAAGTCCCCAAGTCTAACCACCAGTTTACAGGAACTACCAGGGATAGAAAAACATGTTAAATGACACCACAGGGATGCAATCCACAAACTCTCAATTGCACAAAGCTCTCTGGGACAAACGACTAGCTGTCTCCAACAAATAAACTGCAAGGAAGGAAAAGAGGGAATCCTGTGGAATTAAGGAGTCTTAAGAGACACATCAACCAACAGCCATGTATGCACGCACCTTGCTTGCATTTTGACAAGAACCAACTGTGAAAAAAATTCATGAAACGACTGGGGAAATTTCAACAGTGATGGGATATTCAGTGATATTAAAGGATGATTGTGAATGCAAGTTTTGGTATGATAATGGGATCATGGTTATTTTTTAAAGAATCCTTATTTTTTAGAGATATTTGTTCAAATACTTGTAGAAGAAATAATATGATGCCTGGGATTTGTTTCTAAATAATCTGGAATGAGGTGGGGGAAGGGGAGGATGTAGATGGAAAAAGTCTGGCTGTTTGGCCAATCCTGGCCGCTGCTGTCGGGTCTGTGGTAGTGGATTACACACCCCCTCCCTAAAAACAAACAAACATGACTTCATCAATCAGATGACCTACAAGCTTACAAATATTTTGGTCCTCTTACTAAAATTCAGTTTAACTTTCTTTATTGCTCTGCTTTACATCATACATCCAGGTATATAATTCCTGGCTATGAAAAATGGGTGAATTCATTCATCAGTACTAAATTACCTTGACTTGGAGGCAATATCATATAGTGGCTGAGAGTAGAGAAACTATTCCTGTCCGTGCTTTGTCATTTGCATCTCTAGGAAACCCAGTAAATATACTTCTCGGAGCCTCAACTTTCTCTCCTGTAAAATGGGAGGGAGTAAGTGAGATGTTGCATGAGGAGCACTTGGCCCAGTTTATGACTGTCAGAAAACTGCAGTGACTATTATGACCAGTGGCAGCAATACCAGAAGAATGCAGAGTAGGGTCTATTCATATAAAAAAAAAATTATGCTTCTTCAGGCATCTGCAGAAAGATGACTGGGATGAAATACTACAAAGAGATTACAGAGAGATAATCCCACAGGGAGTCATTCATTCATTCAACAAACACAACTGAGTGAGTACCTTCCGTGCGCCAGGCACAGGGGAACTGGGGCCACTGCCTGAGCACAGCCCCTGCTCTCCTGGGAAGAGAAAGGAGGGCATGTTGAGACAAGGGGAAAACAGGGGTCAAGACTTAGGGGCAGTGCAGGGAGAGGTCCAGACCAGATCTGAAGGACACAGGAGAATTAGCCGGGTTGGATTTAGGGAGGGAGGGCGGAGAGGTGGGAGAGAAAAAAGGACAAAGCATTCCAAGCTGTTAAGGGAAGAGCAAGTGCAAAGGCCCTCAGGGCAAGAAGGACTAATTCCAGGCTCAGAAGGATCACAGAGTCCCAAGCAGGACAAATGGAGGTGGGGTAGCGCGTGGCTGCAGCTGGGCGGGGGTTTCTTTCATTTTTACTTCATACCTTCTGAATTACGTAAATATTTTATGGAAGTATGTGTCATTCTTATAATTTTTTAAAAGTTAATAAAACATGTACAAAACACCTGATAAAGCCCCAAGAAGTAAAGAAATTATGATAGCATTTTCTCTACTCTTTTCCTCTCAAGAATTCTACAACATGTTAAAATTCATTCACATTTGCTTAAAAAAAAAAAAACCACTTAAAAAAAAATCTAACAAGCACAGCATCCTCTCCCGTCTGGTTTGCTGGAAGGGCCGCCCCATCCTTCCCCACCTCCTTTCCCTTTTTTGGGGCCTTAGACATGGAAACGATAATTGCACCTAATTTCAACGATGCTCTTTCCAACCCTCATGGAGGCTCTGGCCCTCAAACAAGTTTCTAAGTGACAGGCTGAGCTTGGAGGAAAGACCCACTAATAAGGTTTGGGGAAAAGCTTTTGATTTTCCCAACGGAATGCAGTTTTAACACAATCTGGGGAGTCCCCCCACCCCCTGTCCCTGTGTGAGCACAGCCGGCCAGTAGGAAGAAAGAACTTGGTACTGGGACTGCCCTGCCAAGTGGTATCTGCAAGTTTCCTCTGCAATCTGTTGCTAGGGGTGGAATCTGTTTTTCTGGTTTCCTCTCAGCCCGGGGCTAGGCTTCACTTTGATGTGAAGGAGGTGCACGGTGTGCATGCGAGTTACCTGAGTGGAGGTGGAGACCTGAGGGCAAGGCTGCAGCTGCCCGGGAGGAGGGCTAAGGCCTCCCCCTTTGGTCTGCGCAGTGGGAACCCCAGCGAGGCCCTTTCAAGTCTGCACCTTGCGGTTTCTCCCCACAGGAAGGCCAGCTTTATTATGGGTTTGTTCCCTTCACTGTTTTGAACCTCTCCCTGGGCCCCCGCCCAGCTCAGGACCTTGCATTTCATGTCAGGTCTAGTGAGGCCGCTGGCTCCTGGCTGAGTGTAGCGCTACGTGATACAGAAGGGTCTGCCCTCCTGAGAGACAGAGATCAGTGGTCAGATGGTTTCTGTCCCAGGAGAGAGGTGCCTCCCAGCAGACAAGCCTCAATGGTGTCATTGACTCAGCCTCTCCCTTCAAAGGCCTTTTATTTGTTTGTTTCTCACGGAGAACCCACCTGCTGCAATGCCTTCATCTGAAAGATGAAAAAGCCGAGGCCCGAGGGGTAATTCCACCACCAAAGAAACCTCCGCAAAATTATGATGCATTCCCGGGCAGACCCTCAGTGGTGCCTCATAATCTAGCGGTAAGAGCTCCACGGGGGAGTCAAGGTTTACCTTCCAGCTCCGTCGCCGACCACAATGCAATCTTGCCCAAACTGCTCAGCCTCTCCAAGCCTCAGTTTCTTCACCTGTGAAATGGGGAGAATAATTTTTACAGCTTAGGGTTGTTGATTTAAGTCACCCCGCCAATTTAATTATGTAAGTGTTCACCTATTTCTCCTCAATTCCCCCCTTCCCCTAGACTGTGAGTCCCCTAAAGGCAAGGACTCTGTCCACCTTGCTCACAGACGTGATCTCAATAACTACAACTGCCTAGTGCAGGGTAGGCGGTGAGGAAGTATTTGTGTTGAAAATAACGAAGGCCCTCGGCGCCGGGCTCAGCACAGACACTCAACATTATGAACAGAGGGAGTTTGTTATTTATGATGGGAAAGCAGGTTTTGTTTCAACACTATCAAATCACCAGGAACTGAGGGAACAAAACAGCTCTCTGGAGAGGGCCTGATGTCAGGTGGCTCTTCTGGGGCAAAGCCCCCAGGACCCCATCCATGAAGGACCTGCCTCCACAGGCTTCAGAGCCACCTTGCTCCAGGGCCTCTCCCCGCTGTCCTCTCTCTCAAAGAAATTGTCCCCCAGAGGCAGGACTCCTTCCCCGGGGCTTCAGAATTCCTATCTTCTGCTCTAGAAGACAGCAGGGGTAAAGGCTCAAATCACCAAACCTGCAAGGGCAGGGTTGCTAGGTTAAAATACTGGACAACTAGTTAAATTCGAATTTCGGATGAACAATGAAATAACTTTTTAGTAAAAGTATGTCCCAAAGATTGCATGGAACCTGGTTATCCTTAAAAAAAGTATTCACTGTTTATCTGAAATTCAATTGTAACTGAGGGTCCTGTATTATAATTTGCTAAATCTGGCAAGCCAACAAAGTGATGGAGTTGGGATGTTAACCCAGGCCTGCCTGAGCTTGTGGACCTCACTTTCTCCTCTCCTGCAAAATCCCCATGATCATATTAGGAAACTCTTGGCGTGGTTATGAGAATTAAAAGAGAGAGGCTGAGTGAAATGGGCTTTTAAGCCCTCAACTACTTCATAAATGTTGGCAAGGGCAGGAATTTTGTTTGCCTTGATCCTGAGATGAACCCAGTGCCTAGAGCTGTAACTGACACACAGTTGGACAGCCACGACTATTTGTTTCAGTGAAAAATCGCTGGTACTACTTTCCATAAATAGCCAAAAAAAAAAAAAAAAAAGACGTAAAACCATTTCAACGGGCTTCCCTGGTGGCGCAGTGGTGGAGAGTCCGCCTGCTGATGCGGGGGACATGGGTTCGTGCTCTGGTGTGGGAAGATCCCACATGCCGCGGAGCAGCTGGGCCCGTGAGCCATGGCCGCTGTGCCTGCGCGTCCGGAGCCTGTGCTCCGCAACGGGAGAGGCCGCAGCGGTGAGAAAAAAAAAAAACATTTCAAGGTCCCAAATCTAGGTCCCACATTCCAAGCATACCCTTCTGGCCCGTTATGCTGGTCCCCATTCCTGTCAGAAGGCGCCCAGGCAACACTCCCTCTCTTTCTCTCCCAGGTAGGATTGCGCCTGAGAGAGCCCCGAGCACGCATGCCTCACTCAATGGAGGTGCTATGCGCATGCGTTGGTCCAGCTCCGCCTGGGGAGGGGTGAGTAGTGCACATGCGCGGTCAGCCCTCTCCGGAAAGCGCGGGAAAGGAGCTCCGTCTTTTCCTGGAAGTGCTCTGTGGGTGCGGCGAAGGGCGCTATCCGGCCAAGTCAAGTTCCTGCTTTTGGACTCTTTCACTGCCGGGCGGTCCTCATGGCCTTTGCACCCAGAGGTCCTGAGGCCTCGTTCTTCCAGGTTTTGGACCAGCACAGGGCTTCCCTGCTGGCCGCCCTGAGGAAAGGTGGCGGGGAGCCCGCTGGCGGGGGGACGCGCCTGGCCACTAGGTATGAGGGCGCCTTCTGGGGCGCAGACACCGGGACTTGGCGCAAAGCTTCCTCGGTGCAGCCGGGCTTGAGGTGTTCTGTGGGGAAATGCTGGGCCCCCTTCCCGTCTCCCACTGTGGCGGCCACAGGGTGAAGCCTGTTGGGCCCGCCAACCCTGAACCCCGAGAAAGGCCCTTGTTTAGCGACCCCCTTTCTCTGCTGTTAACTTATTTTGAACTCAGAAAGCCTGGTGACAGACCCCCCTCCCCCCATGTCTTCTAGAATGTTCCCCCTCTAGAATGGTCCAGGAGCATCTCCACAGCTGGGTTCACGAGTTTCTTGAAATCCTAACAGTTTAGGGCACAGTTTGCCCTTGTGTTTGTTTAAAAAAAAAAAAGTGTAAAAATTTAACTTTAGAAGTTTTCAGGCTTTTTTTTTTTTTGGAAGAGGGGAAGATCCGTGTTGTGAGTTCTCAGTAAGTGTGTTTTATCAAAATGAACGAGGAAGTCAACACATTTTAAATGGTTTCTAGTGAGACAATGGGGTTTTTGACCTCGAAGTGAAGAGAATGTACACTTCTTTAAATCGGTTAGAGCAGTTAGAGGTTAGCTCAGAGTGCGGTGCTGATAACATCAGTTACGGGATCTCCAGCTGCCCAGCTTAGAGTTAACTACCGAAATTATGTTTACATTATTCACCACTTTTACTTGAAATGCTCTGTTGTTCTGCTTCCTTGATCTGCTTTTCCCATTTATCAGCAAACTTTTTCACTTAAACAAATTACTGCCTTTTACTTTTAAGCCCAAACCAACTACCAAAAAACCAAAAAGCCAGAAAAACCCACAAAAATTTTTTTACAATAGGATTTAGTTGAAGGGAGAATTGAGAGTAAAGGAAAGAAAGGGATGGAAGTCCCTTTTTACATTTCAGATGTAAATCTGGTTGTTTTAAAGTTGGTCATAATGTTATCGTGACTTTTTTTTTCCAGGCTGGAAAAATGAGATATTTGAATCAGGTTTTGCATCCTGTTATTAGAAAATATGGAATGTTTTAAAATTTATTTTCTGATACATGCATTTTCCATGAAAACGCTGATGTTTCTGTGGAAATTAGAACACTACATTTTGTGCATTTTCTAGATTTAATATGAGTTCCCTTCCTAGGCAATATTCTTACGGTGTTTATAACAGAATAACATTTTTTGAAGCTGATGGCTTGTGAAATTAAAAGTCAGCTGACAGAAAACTGGGCTAAGTCTTAATAATTTTCTGTGGTGTAGTAGTTGCCAAGTCCCTTTATGGTAGTGATTAAACTTTTTTCTTTTTGTGTCACTAAAATTCAAAAGGGCTGATTTATGGCATGAGATCAATTAAGGTAACGTGCTACAGCACGAAGTTTTTCTTTTGAAATATTTTCGCTTTGCATTTTGGGGAAATTAAAGCAAGTATTACATCAATTTTAATTAAAAGATTTATCAGTAGTATTTCAAGTCAATGATTTTGTATTTAAAGTAGGTTGATACGAAGAGTAGATAAAAATATATTTATAAATTGCCTAGTCATTAATTTAAAAGGGAGATATTACTTCAATTGGTAATTGAGAAGTAAAATTACAAGCAAATGAAATTTTTCTGTAATTCACCACTATAAATACAGTTGTGGTTTTAATGCATTACTGTTCTAAAAATTTAGTGGGAGAGAATATTATTGACATGTATCACCTAGTCTTAAAAAACAACCAATGAAACTAAAAATTACTTTAATATTGACCTGGGGAAATGTTACATACTGTAAAGGTCTAATTTAGAATTAAGACTGAATCATGGTGTATTTATTGTTTCAGTTCTGAGGTTCTTGCAGCTATAGAAAATGTTATCCAAGACATAATCACAAGCTTGGCAAGAAATGAAGCACCTGCATTCACAATAGACAACAGATCAAGCTGGGAAAATATAAAGTGGGCATTTTGCATTTTTTACTTTTAAATGCAGTATCTATGTCATTATTTGAGTTTGAGTTCGAGTTCTAGTTGGATTTAATTCTTTTTATTGCCTTTACCTTGCCAAAAAGATCTAAGGAAGTTTACAAAATACACACCATACAGGCAGGTTTTATAAAGTAGAAGTAGGTGTGAAAGATAAGGCAAAGGGAAAACAATGCTAGGAACAAAAAGTGGAGCACCGAAAGGGGTTAGAATTCAAAATGCATATGATAAAGTCTCACAGTCCTGCTAAAAATAGGCTCCAGACTTGGATCTAAGCTTTCTAGCACTCAAAAGGGGGAAATAACACCAGTGGAATTCTCATCTATACTGCAAAAGCAAACCACTTGCTCAGGGGAGCTACAACCAGTCCTGATACTGAGACCAAAATAAACGTATCCTGAACATAGAGCATATTTTGATGGCTCTTGCCCCTAGCACATCTCCCCCTGCTAAGTCCTGTGTCCAAGAGGGTAAGATCAGCAAACAGCTTTATCAAAGTCCTGGAACCTAGTCACATAGTTTGTTGCTTTCAGATCGTCAACCTGTAGACACTTACCACGTAATAATGAAAAACACTACAAGAATAGTCTTCACTAAGAGTTACAGAAACAGAATTAAAGTAATTTTAAGGCTCTTTAGGCACTAAGTATTCTTTTATGATCAATGTAATTAATGTAACTGTAAAGTTTTGAATCATATTTTGCAAGCTGGATCTTGAAGCAACTGTCACCTGGCCTATTTGCCTGGTGCCTTCTGCCACCTTTAGGACAGGCTTGGCAGTTCAATTTAACAGCCTAGTATAAATTGTTATTTCATTTACTGTAACTTTGGGGGTAAATTAAACAAAACATTTCAAAACTTATTATTAAATTGAGTAAAATTATTAAGTAAACCAATGAATTAAATAAACCCATCAAGAAAATGAGCAAAATGCTAATAAAATTGTGAAATATTTGGTAATAGTTCACATACCCTAAATATCTTCCTGGGAAAGAAATACATACATACACACACACATCATAATTAAAGGTATTTAATTCATGTATTTTACACACTTGCTTTTAGTGCCTCTGTATGTTGCAAAGCTAATTACCTAATTACCACCTGGAATTATCTAAGCTTATAAACGAGATTATCATAATATAATATATCAGTGCTTACATTGAGAAGAAACAGGGATTTAAATGATGTTCGGAAGAGGACATTGAGTGTATATTGTTTGGTGTTCAAAAGTTAATTCTTTTTTATTCTATTCCCTTGCTTTAAACAAAATGACAGGTTTGAAGATTCTGTGGGTCTTCACATGGTATCTCATTGTACCACAAGAAAAATCAAAAGTGATTCACCAAAATCAGTTAAAACTTTTGGTAAATTAATCTTTCTTAGCTTTCTGTAGTAAAATAAATAATTTTGGTTACCTTCTGGGTTATAGTTTTTCCTAGCTAAATAATTTTACTTGTTCTTTAATAGGCCACCCTGTACTTGAAATAAATTTATAGAATTTTGCATTGTTAATAACCATGGAAGTATTATTTCAAAAGAAATTTTCAAGATGCATGATTCAGTGGAAAAGTATTCTCTCAATTTTGCTGTACATAGAGCAATTAATTTTATCTGATTCGTCAGGCAATTATTATTCTGTACTTAACACTTCTATTTTGGGAAGATAAATTTTGTAATATTGTGTAAAGTAACTGAGGACAGTTAAAATCCTTGATAGCAGTATGTTTTGAATTTGTAAGAAAAATGATGAGTAACTTGTTTATTGCATCTTATTTTCCAGCGCTAATTCTTAAAATATTGTCCATGATTTATAAATTAGTACAGAGCAACACTTACGCAACCAAACGGTAAGTACATTGTGCTAATAAATTACTCTTTAAAATGCAGTGTGAGATTTAGTGGCATTAACTTTCATTATATGTTTTGAAAAGTTACATAAAACTAGGCTATGGGTCATAAACTACTTTGCTAATATGTTGCCTTCATCCAGTTAAAGCTTTCTTCAATTAATACTCCAATACTTATATTCAAAGAGAATATGGTTAATTAAAATATATATTTTTAAAATTTTCATAGAGACATATATTACACCGACAGCCAACTCTTTGGTAACCAGACTGTTGTGGACAATATTATCAATGACATTTCCTGTATGTTAAAAGTGCCGAGGAGAAGTCTGCATATAGTAAGTAGCATTTAATACAAAACATTTTAAGACAAAACATACAAAAGTTGTAATAGAAGAATAAATGTAATCTGTGCCTTCTTTCCATATTTTTGATACTACGTTTTTCTCACTGTGAATTTAAATAATCTATTCTCATTGTATTCCCTTGGATAAATGAACCAAGACAGATGAATTATCAAATATTTTTCATTTCTAAACGCTCTTACACATTTTCTCCTTTATTTCTTAAATTCCAGTCTGGGCCAAAATACATATAATTAAGAGGTGAACATGAGAAGGGACTCAGAGGCATAAAGTAAACTCAAGAGAGAGGTTTCAGATATGTCTATTATTTTTTCAGTTATCTACATCAAAAGGTTTAATTGCTGGCGATTTAAGGTATATCGAGGAAGACGGCACCAAGGTGAATTGTGCATGTGCCACAGTAAGC